TCTGCCCCTGGCCAGGATGGCCTGGCAACTGCACACCCGCAAGCTGAAATCAGACTCTCCTCCACATCCCTTGATTATCTCAATATCTCCTCGTGGTAACCCCAGGGGTGTTAGAACCGACTTATGCAAAAATCTGTATTTGAGTCCAGTATGTATGCCTGTCATTCCAACGCTGGGGAGGCTGAGGCAGGAGGATCTCCATGAATTTGAGGCCAGCCTGGGCTACACAATGAGACACTGTCTCAAAAAAACAAAACTAAAAACAAAGCAGCTTTTTTTCCGAGCTGGGCACTTCTCAGCGGCCGGTATGTTGTGGTCCTTACCTGCGTGTCTACCTGACCCATCTTCCTAGCAAAGAACAGGAGGGACAGGAAGCGCTGAGGCGGCCTCCGGGCTGCATGCCAGGGCGACCAGGGTGACCTCATGATTCAGCAGTTTCCCTCCCGGTCTGTGCCCTCGGGAACCAAAACAGGTGCTCCATAAACCCCAGCTGGTGCTGGTGCCAAGGGCAGACGGGGCCCTCACGGCGCACCTGCGGCTGGGAAGGGCCACAGGGGAGGCCGAGGCAGGCGGGTCTTCGGGGACCGAGGGCAGCGAGGCTGCTGGGTGGAGCCAGGTTGGGAGTGCTCGTGCAATCTCGAGGGTGAGCCGAGCACCCAGGTGCACCTTTGTTGGGGGAAATGATGCTGTTACACCATAAAACCATGTAGATAAGTGCCCTGTACAGTGGCGTGGGTCAGGAGCAGCCCCGGCTGGAGCCCTGTAGGTCGCTTGCCAGGCGAGCGTAGACCAGAAAGAACCACAGAGCCTTGAATCCAGGTGTCCGGGGGTCAGAAGAGGCAGGGTCAGGATTTGAACTCGGGTCTCCCCGTCTGAGCCGCATTGCAGAGAGCCCTTCTCGGTCCTTGTCATGGTCCGAGAAGTTTATTTATTGTTTATTTATTTATTTATTTATCTTTTTGAGACAGGGTCTCGCTGTGCAGTTCGGGCTGGCCTTGAGTTCACTATGTAGCCCAGGCTGGCCTTGAACTCGCAACGATCCTCCTGCCTCAGCCTCCCGAGGGCTGGGATTACAGGCGTGAGCCACCACACCGGGCCAGGAAATTTGTATTTGTAATCCACGCAAAGTTATTACAACCCTATCGGGTTAATTCCAGTCCAGCACTTCCAGCGCAGCCCACGGCGAGAACAGACACTCAGGCACATTTGTAGCTGTGGGGAGCCAAGGGGTCCTCCCTCCAGCTCGGGCGATGGTTAACCGAAACGAAGGCCTCGACCCGGGGCCAAGCCGGGGTTTATGAACCGTGGGGAGCAGAGCGGCAGGCAGTACGTGAGCGCCGTGAGCTGGGCTGGGCAGGCGGCCTGCGGTCACCTCTGCACGGTGACATCTTCTCTGCCCTGGAAGGCGCCAGCCTCTCCCTCAGGCTCTGGCTCTGCCGCCCGCCCGGCTCACAGGGCAAGACGACACGGACCCGTGGACCGTTCACCTTGCTCCAAAGACTACACATCTGCTCGGCTGCTGGACCGATTTCCTTGGTGTAAAGCCAGCTGAAGGGATAAGGAAAAGTTGTAGCCGTCTCTGCACGCACGGGGTCGTGGAAACAGGGCAGGGTGCGGGTAACTGCGCTTTTTTTTTTTTTTTTGAGATGGTCACGCTATGCAGTTCAGGCTGGCCTTGAGCTCACTTTGTAGCCCAGGCTGGCCTTGAACTCACAACAATCCTCCTGCCTCAGCCTCCCAAGTGCTGGGATTACAGGCGTGCGCCACCACGCCCGGCTCACTGCGCCTCTTCCCAGAGAGCCATCCGGGGTCTCCACCCGTGTCTGGCCAGGGAGCTCACTCTGTGAGGGGCCCGGAGGCCGGGCAAGGTCCACGCCATGTGCCCCTGGCTTCTGGCCGTGTGACCCGGGCCTGCCCCAGGGCTGCCTCAGTTTGCCGCCTGTGGAGTGGAGGGCATGGGCCCGTGTTGCCCAGTTGCAGGAAGATGGAGTCTCAAGCACCTCTCTAGTCCATGCTCCAGAAAATCTTCCCAGTAGCCCGGCTACTCAGGAGGCTGAGGCAGGAGGATTGGAAGTTCCAGCCCAGACTGGGCAACTTTGTCTCAAAATTTATTTATTTATTTATTTATTTTTTGTTTTTGTTTTTCTCTGGTACCTGGAATCGAACTCACGACCTTGTACTTGCCAGGCAGGCACTGTGCCGCTGAGCTAAATCCCCAGCCCCTTGTCTCAAAATTTAAAAAGGGCTGGGGACAGAGTTCCGTGTCAGGGCCCTGGCTTCAGTCCCAGTACCGGAAAACGGGGTCACCTCTGCCCTAGTGTGGCCGTGGGACAGTGCTGTGGTGGGAGGCAGCTGGGCCACTGCAGTGGCCGCTGAGGTCACCCCTGGCCTCCTGCCCGAGGCTTGCTCACCCTTCCTGCTGGCCCCCGCACAGCCAATGAGCTCATCGGCTAGAGACGGCCCATTCCAGGTGCGGTGGAGCGGAAACCTCCGTGCGACCCTGCGCCACAGGACCCATGGGCCTGGCTGCCCGGTGCTCTTGGGAATTCCAGGAATAAAGTTAAACAATGACCGTTTCTCCTCTTAAAGGGACAGGTGCCCATCCGAGCCAGCAGCCGTACTGTGAGCACAGCTGGTGGACTACTATACAGCAATGAAGAAGAAGGAAGTAGCTGGGCACTGTGGTACACACCTGTGATCCCAGCTTTGGGGGAGGCCGAGGCAGGAGGATCTGGCGTTTGAGCCCAGCCTGGGCAACTTAGTGGCTTAGTGAGACTCTGTTACAAAATGAAAAATAATAAAGACTGGGGACACAGCTCAGTGTGAAACAGAAGAATAAAAAAGAAAAAAGAAAAAAGAAAAAAAAAGGCCTCACGGTGTGTGACCTCACCGATAGGAAACGTCCAGCCCAGGGAACCCAGACACAGGAAGCAGATTACTGGCTGCCGGGGCTGGGGCAGGGGACAGCAGGGGCTTGCGGACAGGGTCCTCTGGGGCGCAGTGTCCTGGAACAGACGGAGGTGCTGGCCGGGAGCCCTCACGGGTGGGGGTGCCACGGAATTCGGGTGCCGGTGGCAACCACTACCCTGGCTTGCCCCATGCAGCCCCTGGGGACGGTGAGGAAGAGGCTCTCAGTGGCCTCCTGGGACCAAAGCGGAGACAGGATGACATCGGAGAAAAGCCCAGGCCTCTATGTACCCCAAAGCCCTACAGCCCTGCCTGGGCCTGGGCCCCTTTATCCTAGAAAGGCTGCGTGTGACATGGCCTCCTGAGCAGTGCACTTATTGAGCACCTACTGCATGTCCCTACTGCATGTCAGGTGTGGTGTCCCGGGGTCCCCTGACGTAAGGGACAGAGCTGGGCTGACCAGGGTGGAGGTGGCCTGCAGTGGGCGCTGGGGCAGGGACCCCTGATGAGGAATGAGGGTCCTTTGGGGACCCCTTCTCTGTCTTTTGTTTGTCGACTTCATGCTATTTCGGTTTGCAGGGCCCTGGGGACGAACCCGGGGCGCTCACCACTGAGCCCCCCCACCCCACCCCCCCGCAGCCCTCTAAAAATTAGCATCTGGAGACAGGGTTCCGGCTAAGCTGCCCAGGCTGGCCTGGAACTTGGCGATCCTCCTGCTTCGGCCTCTGGGGGAGCCGAGATCGCAGTTGTGTCCCCGCTTTCTGCAGGACAGGGAAGTGCAGAGAGCCCCCGCCACTCCGCCGCCCGCCGGGGAGGACCCAGCCGGCTTGAGCAGGCGCGCCAAGCTGTCGCTGTCCCGGCTCCATGCTCTGAGGTTCCCGCAGAGGCCCCCAGGGGGCGCCCTTCCCAGCGCCGTGCGCAGCCCTTACAGCTGGGCGGAGGGGTGTGTGTGTGTCTCCGGACCCGCGTCTCGAAAAGGCTACCCGGGAGGCTGAGGCAGGAGGGTCGCGGGTTCGAGGCCTCATTCCTGGCATCCCAGAAAGCAAACTAAGCGATTGATGTTGCCACCCTCTCTGTCCTTGGGGGTGACGAGAGGACCCTGTCCACTGCTCATACCCCGGCCCTCGGTCTGTGCACAGGGAGGGTGAGACACACTCACCCTTGCCCGGATCACACAGCGAGAGGGGCCCTCACGGGGATTTGAACCGGGGTCCATGCCGACCCCAGGAGAGCAGATGTTGCTGCTGCAGGTGGGACACCGCTCTGTGAAATCCAAGTACTTCCTACCCTTTCCCTATGACACCTCTGGGCTTGAGGAGGCACAGGCAGGCACTGCTAGTGCGGGGAGGTGAGCTCAGGGCCAGAGAGAGGGATGGGGAGTGACAGCCCCTGCTCGGCCTGCAAGTGCAATGTCAGAGGTGTCTGAAGGAGTTTGGGAATAGGTTTTTGATTTTTTTTTTTTTTTCGTCTTTTTGAGACAGGGTCTCACTATGCAGTTCAGGCTGGCCTTGAGCTCACTTTGTAGCCCAGGCTGGTCTGGAACTCACAACAATCCTCCTGCCTCGGCCTCCCAAGTGCTGGGATTATAGGCATGCACCACCACGCCTGGCTTGAGTAGGGTTTTGAAGCATGAGGAGGAGTTCCTCCAGAGGAGGATGGTCACTGCAATGCCCAGTGGTCTATTAAACATCTACTATGTGCTCCATCCTGGCCTTTATCCCTCTTCTGAACTTCTCTGCAAGGAAGCCTTGCCCCTCTTTTCCTGGGCAAGACACAGCTGGCCCAGACTTGCCCCTTCCTGTTCTTGCTCGCCGTTTTTTCCCCCTCGCTTTCTGTGCTTTTTCAGCTTCTCGGTCTTTGGTCCTGACCAGAGCGGAGAGGCGAGTCCTGGGGAGGCGGGCACCTGTCCAGCCCCATCCTGTCTTCGGGGACAAAGTCATGCTCCCAGGGGACGCTGGCCTGGGTGGCCTCTGATGTCGCCCCCCTCCCCCCCCGTCCCCCCCCCCCGGTTGCACCCCGGGTCCCGCCTCCGGCCCGGAGTCACCGGGTTCGGGGGGCGGGGCGGGCGAAGTCCGGGACCATAAAGCCGCAGCCGGCCAGCGGCGGCCACAGCCATGCGGGGACTGCCACTCACGCTGCTGCTCCTCGCGGCGCTGGCGCGGCCGCCGCCGGGGGGCGCCCTGGCCCCGGCCGAGAAGCTTCATTCAGACCCAGACCCGGACCCGGACCCGGACCCGGACCCGGACCCGGACCCGGACCCGGCCGTCTACACATCCCGGGAGCTGAGGAGACGCTTCGAGGACCTGCTGGCCCGGCTGCGCGCGAACCGGAGCACCGAAGCCTTGAACGCCGAGCCCAGCCCCGCGCCCGCGGTCCACACGCTCACCCCGGAACGTGAGTGCCATCTCGGGTCCCCGTGCATTTCCCCGGGGCTCCTCCTCTCACCCGCCCCGAGACTCAGTTTCCCTCCTGGGCAGAGGACGGGAACACCCTCCTGGGCCTCCCGAAGCCGCCCGATCCCTTTGTGTGCAAAGACCCGGCCCGGACCCGGGGCTGCTGCAACCCGTCCCGTGCCGCCCACGCTGGGCCAGAGGCGCCAGGCTCCGCCCGAGGGTGCACGGGCCTGGGAACTCGGGGACCCCAGCCCGCAGCTGGCCAGGGCCGGGGCGGCGAGCTGAAGAGGGCGCAGCGGGCAGGCCGCGGAGCGGTTTCCCAGTCTGACGCAATCGAGCATCAAGACCTGAGCCGCGCGCCACAGGTACCCTGGGGGCGGTGCCCCTGCGCGGCGCGGACCTGGAACTCTGCATCTCTTTAAAATTTTGAGTCTGCAGAGTTGAGGCCCCTGGGGGCTGCTGCGCCCCAGCCCCGCCCCCACCCACTGCGCGCATGCTGCCCGGGTTCCTCGGGAGGCTGAGGCAGGAGGGTCGCTCCAGCCCAGGAGTTCCAGGCCAGCCCGGGCGTCATAGCGCGAACCTGTCTCAAACAAAACACCCCCACCCCCTTTTTTTTTTTTTTTAATTGCCAGAGGAAGCTGAGCCGGGGTCTGAGTCCCACACCCTAAATACTGGGCACACATCTAACCCTTCACGTACTTATTAAGCACCCACTGGGGGTAGGCGCAGGGTGACCAGGCAGAGGTCACGCTGGTTTGCAGCAGGGCCACGAAGGCCTCACCGTGAGGTTACTCGGTGCGTGGCCCCTGTGACGGCTGGGCACAGGATGCAGCGACCACGTGGGGACCCAGGAGGGCGCTCTGGGCGGACAGCGGCGGGCGTGCAAAGGCTCAGGGGTGGCAACGGCACAGGGCCACGGTGACAGCGTCCCCCTCTCTCCCACAGTGCAGCCCGGACCCGACGGCAGCCTGCACCTGCGCATCCCCAGGGCGTCGCTGCCTCCGGGCGTCCCCGGGGCCTACCGCGTGCAGCGCGCCCTGCTCCGCGTGTCCCCGGCGGCGCCCGATCCCTGGGACGTGACGCGGCCTTTGCAACGCCAGCTGCGCCTGCGAGGACCCCGGGCGCCCACGCTGCTCCTGCGCCTGTCGCCGCCGTCGGACCTGTGGCGGGCGCCGCTCTCCGCGCCGCCGCGGCTGGAGCTGCACCTGCGCGCCCGAGCAGCCAGGGGGCGCCGCAGCGCGCGCATGCGCACTAAGGACGACTGCCCACTGGGGTCCGGGCACTGCTGCCGCCTGCACACTGTCCGCGCGTCGCTACAAGATTTGGGATGGACCGACTGGGTGCTGTCGCCGCGCGAGCTGCACGTGGGCATGTGCGTGGGCGAGTGCCCCAGCCTGTACCGCTCCGCCAACACGCACGCGCAGGTCAAAGCGCGTCTGCACGGCCTGAGGCCGGACTCGGTGCCCGCGCCGTGCTGCGTGCCCTCCAGCTACGACCTGGTGGTCCTCATGCACAAGACAGAGAGCGGCATCGCGCTGCACACTTACGACGACCTCGTCGCCAAAGGCTGCCACTGCGCATGAGCAGAGCGGCCACTGCCGCCCACGCCACGCTCTTGTGGGCGTGGTCTCCGGTGTCTCTGCCGGCCGAGGGGCGTGGCCGAGGCATCGGCTCCGCCCATCACCCCTCCTCCCTCCTTGATAAGTATTTATAAGGTCGTATTTATTAATTTATTGGGGTTACCTGCCTGGGGCCTGCACAGCTGACTCCGTGGAATATGTATTTATTTAAGACTAGTAATAAAAATGACGTGCAAAGGGGTCCTCTGAAGTCCAGCGTTGAGCTGGGTCTCTCCAGACTCCTGTCGGAGGTTTGGGGGCCGGCCACAAGCTGGGTCCGGTTGCACCCCGGGTCACCACTCCAAACGCCAGCGGCTCCAGCCTTTCACATGCAAAGCGCAGGGAAAGTGATAATGGCTGGCGAGGGGGGTCGGACATCACCCGGCCCCGGAGGAGGCCGCAGCCTCCCCTGATGTACTCAGGGGCCCTCAGGTTTGCGGTCGCCAGACAAGCAGGACACCGCTGTGAGCCTGGACACACAGGGCAGAAATCCTAGGAGGGCAAGCGGCTGTGCCAAGGGTCATGCGGGCTGCTGGCTCCTTCCAGAAGGGCACAGGGGGCCTAAGGGGGCCTGAGGTGATGTGTGAGCTGGGTCCAGCAGGACGGAGAGGGTGGGACAGCCGAGGGACAGGTGTGACAGGCAGGGGTGGCAGCACATGCAAAGGTCCTGGGGCAGGTGTGGTGCCCAGGGTCAGTGCTGTTAAAGCTGCAGCCTGAGGAGGTCTCTGAGTAAAACTCAATGCCAAAGTCGGTCCGAACCCACCAGAGCCTCGACGTGTCCGCCCCTGCTGTCCCCAAGGGGTGTTTGCCAGACCTGTGCTGCCAGTGTGGCCTTTCACACTGCCCCCCTCTTTCAGCACACCATTTCCTCTCCATGTCCCATCCACCTAAGCATCCCTCAAAGCCTGCTGCAGGTTGCCCTCCTACACAGCAGCCTTCGGTCGTCTCCCCCGGGGGCCTTTGCCCCATCTCCCCTGCAGCCCAGGCACGACGTCCCAGGCGCGGGGCTCTCTGCAGCCAGCTCTGTCTCCCAGAGTGGGGCGTGGCGGAGCCGGGCCAGGACCAAATGACAGAATCCAGCTGAGGCTGGGCCTTGAACAGAGTCTTGAAATACTGGGAGCCTGCGGGGCCCCCTGTGATCCCAGCTGCCTTCGAGGCCGAGGCAGGGGCTGCGGTTCTGAGCCCAGCCTGGGCAGCCTGGGAGACCCTGTCTCGGAGCAAAACGAAAGGGCCGGCCGTAGCTCAGTGGGGGGTGGGTGGGAGGGGTCTTGCCCAGTGCGCTGAGGCCCTGGGTTCCATGGCCAAGGAGGGACGGAGGAAAGGCAACGCGGGGCTCTGGGCGGGGCCGCCCCTGCCTGAGGAGAAACCCCGGTGGCTGCTCGGAGGCAGCGTCACACCTGGTCCTGAAGGAGGCGAAGCCTCTCGCAGGTTACAAGACCTCAAGTAATCTCAGGGGCCAATCCGGGCACCCGGCTCCTGGGCGGTGACGGAGGCCCCAGGGCTGGAACCCACACCTCCGACTCCCGGGCGCAGCTCCGCCTCGGGTTTAAACGCTTGAGAGGACCGGGGCAGGGGCGGCGTTCTGGGAGACACGCAAGCACCCGGCAAAGGCGGGAGGCCTGCGGCACAGGGCTGGGACGCGCAGTCTGCCCCAGCCTCGTCCATCCCGAGCATTTATTGAGCGCCACTTGATGCCAGGGGAGGGGATGCGGGGGCGCGTGCGGCCCTGCCGGGCCTTGTGCCGCATCCCCGTGGCTCTGTCTTGCGCTCAGATGGAGAAACTGAAGCAAAGGAGGCAGAAGGGCCCGAGTCACCCAGCAGGGCCTGGCGGGCTCAGTGCTGGGAGAGTTCATACTCATCTTCCTGTGCGGGGGCCTGCAGGTTGCCGTAAACGGGCTGTGCATCCAGGCTGGGGCCCCTGTAGTTCATATAGAAGTCGCCGTCCTCAGAAGGGTGAGCCCTGTGGGTGACAGGTCAGCAATGGGTGGCTGGTGGGACTTAGGGGGCTTGCAGAAGGCTCTGGGTGAGGGTGCCGGGCGTGGTGGCGCACGCCTGTAATCCCAGCACTCGGGAGGCTGAGGCAGGAGGATCGTTGTGAGTTTGAGGCCAGCCTGGGCTACATAGTGAGTTCAAGGCCAGCTGGGACAACACAAGGGGACCCTGTCTCAAAAAAAAAAAAAAAAGAGAGGCGGGAAACTGAGCTGGCTGGGTTTCCCCTGGGGAAGTGGGGCGAGTGCAGGAGGGGCTGCTGAGTCAGCGTGGGAACCTCCGGGCATGGGCGGGGGCAACTGTGCTTCCTTAAAACCAGAACAGTTGCCCATGTTTGTGTTCAAATCAAGATTGCAGTTTCTAGCTGGGCATGGTGGTGCACACCTGCCTCAGGAGGCTGAGGCAGGACTAACACCGCAAGTTCAAGGTCAGCTTGGGCTCCATAGTGAGTTCAAGGCCAGGCTAGACTAGAGTGAGACCCTGTCTCGAAAAAAAGAAAAAAGAAAGAAGAAAAACAAAACAGAACAAAGAAAAGATTGCATTTTCCTCTTGAATCATCGGAAGCCCTAGCCTCCAATGCAGGCCCCAGTGGCAGAAACCAAGTCTGCTCCTCTCTCTGGGAAATCGGTTTACTGTCTCTCTGTGGGCCAGCGTTGGCACCAGCACTTTGCCTCTACTGAGTAAGCACTGGGCCCTGAGCCGCATCCTCAACCCTTTTTCAAATGATTTATTCTGAGGCAGGGTCTCACTACGCCACTAAGTAACCCAGGGCGGGCTCAAACTTGCCATCCTCCTGCCTCAGCCTCCAGAGTGCTGGGACGACAGGCATGCGCAGCCACCAGGCCTGGCTGCCTTTCACATTTTAGTATGAATTGCTCAGCACACATACGTGGTCACAGGTTAAGGGGGCTGGGAGCCACAGTTTTTCTTCTCCCTCACTGCGTGACCTTGGGCAGATCATTCCTCTGCTTCTTTTCTGTGAATGTGAAATGCAGGAAGGAAAGGACGTTTTTGATTCTAACCCGGTATTTTGGGGCCAGGCACATGAGGAGGCTGGACCGGAAGTGCCAGTGACAGAGTGACAGAGGCCAACATCAGGCCACAGCTGCCGGGGTGAGGCGGGGCGCGGGGTGGGGAGAACCGGGGCTCTCAGCTTCCTACCCCAAACCACTTCCGCTTTCGGCCTCATTTGCATCTACTTTGCATGCGGCTGCTTCTCCGCCGCAGCCCTGGCCGCGCCGCGGTCCCCCAGCGCCCGCACCTGCGCAGTCTCTGCCCCAGAAGCGGCGCAGCCGTCACCCTCCTTCCCGCGTCTCGCCCCAGCGCTCAGCCTGGAGGAAGCCACCCCCGGGAGCCAGGCTGGGGTGCAGCGGGCCCAGTGACCTCTTAGCATCCGGTGTGTGTCACAGGGATCTGGGGGCCGGCCCCCTGGAGGCTTCTGAGACAGCCCTGGGTCACACAGGCCTGACCACCAAGGCCACTGCAGCCCCGGACCTGGAGCCCCGTCCTCCTCCCTCTGGTCGCAGACCCAGGAACTAGGTTTGCAGGTCACAAGGCGAGGCCTGTCCCCACATCCTGCGGGGCCAGGGGACCGTGAGTGCCGGCACCTCATGGAGGCTGAGGCCCAGAGACTGCAGTTACTTGCCCAAAATCACACAGCCTGACTGAGGGGGAGATGGGAGTGTTTGTTTTGTTCTTTGAGACAGGGTCTCACTTTGTAGTCCAGGCTGGCCTTGAGCTCGATTTGTAGCCCAGGCTGGCCTCCAACTCACAACCCAGGCTGCTCTTAAACTCCCTGTGTAGCTCAGGCTGGCCTTGAACTCACAGCAGTCCTCCCGCCTCAGCCTCCCCAATGCTGGAATGACAGGTGTGTGCCACCATATTCGACTTTTTTGCGTGTTGTTTCTGTTTTGTTTTTGAGCTAAGGTCTTGCTAAGTTACCCGGGCTGGCCTTGAACTCCAAGGCTTGACAGCTCCTCCCGCCTCAGCCTCTCAAGCAGCTGGGACTCCAGGTGCACACCACCGAGCCTGGCTGGCGTAGCAGGGATTTAAGCACTGCAGGGCAATGTCTGCCATCTCTGCATCACTCACCCATGACCCGGCCATTCGTGCCCATCCTGCGGCTGTCCCACGAACACATTCTCGTAGTCGGGCGCAGCGGCGCGGGGCGGCCCGGCCGCGGGGGCTTTGAGGCCCGAGCTGCGGCTGCTATACCGCGGCTGGGTGCCCGAGGCAGGCCTGGCCCCACCCTGAGGTTCCCAGGCCTTCCCTGGGCCCTGGGTGCCGGCTGCCCGGTGCCCACAGCGTCTCCAGGCGAGCACAGCACCTGCCACGGCGAGCGCGAGGAGGAGGACGCCGCCGGCCGCCCCTCCTCCAACAGCGGCCGGGGCCAGGCCGGGGGCGCAGCTGACCGCCAGGAAGTCGGAGAGGTTCCGCCAGGCGCCCGCGGCCCGGTGCAGGCAGCGCAGGGGCTCCTGGCCGGAGCAGTTCTCGTGCCAGGCCTGGTGCCAGGGACCCAGTGCACAGGTACAGTCGGCCCTGAGGTCCAGGTCGCAGCGTGTGGCCAGCGCCGCGTCCACGCTGTCCAGCGGATTGTCCAGCACGCTGAGGACCCGCAGCTGCGGCAGGGACGCCAGGAAGGGCGGCGGCAGCTCCCTCAGGCCGGTGCCCGACAGGTCGAGGAGCCGCAGGCGCCTGGCCCGCAGCGGCTGGTCCGGGGGCAGGCGCAGCGCGCGGCCGCTGAAGTTCAGGCAGCTGGCGTTGAACTCGCGGCTCCAGTCCACGTCTCCGGGGAAGACGGCGCAGGACGGCTCCTGGCCGCGAAGCGTCCGCAGCAGCAGGAGCAGAGCCCAGGCCAGCTCGGTCCCCATGCGGGCGGCCTAGGCAGAGACAGCGATGCCGAGCCGGCTGCAGCCCTGCGGCCGCCGCCCCCCAGCCGTGTTTATTATTATCACTTCTCTTTTAATAGCTCGGGCCAAGCCCGGCGCAGAGGTGCACGCCCGTCACCCGAGCGCCCGGGAGCCTGAGGGAGGAGGGCCGCCCAGGGCTGGAGGCCAGCCGGGGCTGCACGGCGAGACCCTGCCTCCAAAGCAGCTCAAGAGCTCAGGCTCTTCTGCGAGGGTGGCAGCCCCGGGCTTGGCGCCTGGCCGGCCGGCCCTGTCTCCAGCCTCAGCATGGGGGGAGGGGGTGCCCAGGGGAGCCTCGGCTCTGCGACCCCAGCCCCAGGGCTGAGCCTTGGCCGTGCCTTCCCGCTCCCCGTCCATCCGGGCCTCTGCCCCGGCGGCCCCGAGGCCGTGGCAGCAGGGCTTGAGCGGTGGCTAACCTGGACGTCCGGCCAGAGACGGCAGGCAGCGGCTTCAAGGCCCCGAGGCTCTGTGCTCACTCGCTGGGCCCTGGGGAAGAGGAACTGGTGACGGCAGAGGGGAAGAAAGGAGGCACAGAGATCCGCCCTCATCTCCGGGGAGGAGGCGGGGTGGCCTGGGGTTCCACTTCCCTCTTGTAGAAACTCAGAGACTGAGGTCCTTCATTGCTCCTCAACTGACTATCACTATAGCTCAGTGGACCGGGACTCTGAGCTCATTTAGTCACTCAACAAACATTAATGCTGAACTCTGGAAGAGGCCTGAGCCCCGGCCAGATCCTCAAGGAGCACCCAGAATGGGGAGGGGATATAACTGGACACAGGCACCTCACCAGTCTATGCAGTCAGGACAGCCAGAGGGAGAGAAAGAACACTGGAAGATTTCCTGGAGGAGGAGGAAGGGAAGGGGGCATAAAGAGTAGGGCTTCAACACATGAGTAGGAGTTTGCCAACTCCTAGCTGGAGCAGCAGAGTTTAGGAGAGGAGTGGCTGGGTGGTGAGGTAAGAGGAGGAGCGGTCTGGGGAGGTGGTGGGTACAGGCTCCCCGGGCAGGCTAAGGAATCAGCTCCATCCCAGAGCCGATGGGAGGCCAGGTGGGCTTGGGGGACGAGGGGTGTGGGGTCCCCCAGACCAGGTTCACACCCAGCCCAGGCCCTACCTGGGGTTTCACCGCTCAGCGCCTTAGCCTCCCCCAGACCAAAGCTAAGACTCCTCCTGACCGACTTGGGGGGTGTCTTCCCTTCTGTTTCTACCTCGAACCTTCAGTCCCTAAGTACAGAGGGAGGACTGCGGCCTTGGGGGGACTCACCTCCTGGCTCGGGGTCCAGGGGTGCACACTTCTCTGCCACTGGGGTGCTGCTCGCCTGCGTGCCTGGCATCTGAGCACTGGGAGGCTGAGGCAGGAGGGTCGCAGGTTCCAGCCCAGCCTGGATGGCCTAGGGAGAGCCGAGAGCCATCTCAGAGTAGAGGGTGGGAGGGGCCGGGTGGGCTCAGCCCAGGGAGGAGAGAGGAGGCCCTGTGGCTGCGGAGCTGGGACTGGCCAGGGTGGGTCCAGGACGGGGGCTGGGGGTGGCAGATGCGGGGGGCCTGGCAGCAGGTGGTGCCACACTCCCTGAGCTCACTGGGATGCAGGGAGCTGGGGGACGGCTCCCCGTCACCCCTTCTGCCTTCCCATTTCTGTGTGTGTCTGAGTGCGTGTGCCACTGGGGACTGAACCGGGGCCTTCGCGCTAAGCTCTGCCATCAGCCCTTCTCACCTCTGACAATCCTGAGACGGGTCTCTCTATCCTGCCCAGGTTGGCCAGGCGTGGTGGTGCACACCTGTCATTCCAGCACTCGGGAGGCTGAGGCAGGAGGATCATTGCGAGTTCGAGACCAGCCTGGGCTACAAAGTGAGCTCAAGGCCAGCCTGAACGGCATAGCCAGCAAGACCCTGTCTCAAAAAGAAAAAAATAAATAAATAAATAAGTAAAATAAAAAATAAAAAAAAAAGAAAAAGAGAAAAACCATCTTGTAACCTGAGCAACTACTTTGAATATGCAATATCCTAACCCTGTTACTCTCCTACTACCTTGTTTGGAAAGTTTATCCCATTGTTTTTATTGTTTATTTTTCTTTTCTTTAAAATAAGAAAAGACAAAAACAAACAAAAATCTTGCCTAATGTGGGCCTGAATTTGCCATCCTCCTGCCTCAGCCTCCGTGACCGCGGGATGAGAAGAGTGCCATCCCGCTTGTGCCTGGCCACAGCCTGGTCCCAGGGCTGAGCCCCGAGAGCCGCAGACGTGGCCAGGCCAGGAGGCAGAGGTCCCCAGAGACTCTGTGACACAGCAGAGACAGACGAGGACCCTCTGGGGTGCCCAAGGCCCACACCCCTGAGCCCTGGCCTTGGGTCAGGCTTAGTTGGAGTAAGGTGGGGCTGACCAGCATTCACTCAACAAACTGTGCTCATCCCTGGTTCTCCGCTGCTGTGTGAGCCCAGCCAGTGCCCGCCCCTCTCTGGGCCTGACCTCCACCTGTGTGGAAGGGATGGGGACAGCTCACAGGGCCGTGACACAGAGCCCCAGGCAGCAGCGTGCCCGTGCTGGGGATGCCAGCAATGATCAGGAGCAGGATATTGAGTGGGGGGCAGAAGGTGCTAGGCGTCAAACCCAGGCCTCGCTGCTGAGCCACACCCCCAACCAAAGTGTGAAGGTTCATGACTTGGGGAGACGGCGCTTCTAATTTTTTGTTTGTTTGCTTTTTGAGACAGGTTCTCAGTTTGTAGCCCAGGCTTCCCTAGAACAACTCACAGAGATCCTCCTGCCTCAGCTTCCTGAGAGCGTGCGCCACCCCTGCATTTAGATTGGCGACAGTAAAACGTTACGAGCTACTGAGTGCCCTGGGAGGGACAGGGGCAGGCTGTGGCTCAGGGCAGCCACGGGTGGCTGAGCAGGCAGGGTCACAGCTGAGGTGGGACCTGACCTTTCTTGGGCCACAGGGCTCCCCGGGGAGCAGCCCGACCACAATGGGAGGTCAGCTGGTCCCACTTGGGGCAGCACAGGGCTTAGGTGGGGCGCTGGCTCCCACAGGCACACTTCCTCTGCCCCAAAGGCCTCCTGGATGACCTTGAATTCTTGGGGACACCAAAGGAAGACAGATGTGTCACAGCTGGTGATCGCCCGTCAACCCAGTGTCCAGCTGAGCTCACCCCAAGCTCCATCCCCGGCCCTTTTCTACTTTTCATTCTGAGACGGAGTCTTGCTAAATTGCTAAATTGCCCAGGCTGGGGTTGAACTTTCGAGCCTCCTGTCTCAGCCTCCCAGGGTGCAGGGATTAAAGACGCACACACAGCTGGTTGAAGTGTTTTAAATAATTGTAACCGCGCAGCCAGGGACGGGTTACTTAGTTGGAACGAAGCCACATCGTCTCCGCAATCGCCCCGGAGGCAGGAGCACCGTCACTTTACACGTGGGTAAACAGAGGCCCGGTGTGTTTGAAGAACCAGCCCGAGCCCACAGCGGGTGGGGCTGGGCACGAGGGAACGGCGCCGGGAGCAGTGACTCAGGCGTCCCCCGGGAAGGCTGCAGAGTCCGCTGGGCACTAACGCAGCTTCCTGTCCCGCAGCCCTGGACTCCAGGTCACTTCAAAGATGCCGGCAGTGGGGCCAAAGAGCGCCGTAGTCATCCGCGGTGTCCAGCGGGGTGAAAGGATGTAGCTTTATATGCTAGGTTTTACTTTTGGTTAAGAATGTGAGGCTGGGGTCCCGGGGGTTTAGCTCAGGGGCACAGAGTCTCCCTGGTAAGTGCAAGGCCCTGAGATCCATTTCCGGTACAAAAAAAAAAAAAAAAAAAAGGATGTGAGGCCAGGCGTGGTGCACGCCTGTAACCCCAGCATTTGGGAGGCTGAGATAGGAGGGTCACCATGAGTTCGAGGCCATCCTGGGCTATGTAATGAGTTCAAGGCCAGCCTGGACTGCATAGGGAGACCCTTTCTCAAAAAGACAAAAAAAAAATGTGTTTCATGCAGGGCGTGGTGGCGCACACCTGTGATCCCAGCAGTCAGGAGGCTGAGGCAGGAGGAGTGCAGTAGCATCGTAAGTTAGTGAAGGACTCAGGAGTTATGAAATAAGCGTTAGGGAGGAAAAGCTGATTGGAGCAGGCAGAGAGAATAGGGTGGGGTGGTTTATAATTTTGAAATCAGCCAGAGACGGCTTTTCTAGATTTAAAAAAAAAAAAAAAAAAAAAAATGGCTGAATCTCAATACTCAGGAGGCTGAGGCAGGACGACCAAAATTTCCAGTCCAGACCAGGCAACTTGGTGACTTAGTGAGACCCTGTCTCAAGATAAAAAATAAAAAAGGGCAAGGAGGGAGCTCAGTGCAGACTTCGAGTTCAATCTTCAGTGCTGGGGCTGGGGATTTAGCTCAGCGGCACAGCGCCTGCCTGGCAAGTGCGAGGTCGTGAGCTCGATCCCTGGTACCGAAAAAAAAAAAAAAAAAAAGATAGTAGAATGAAATAATCCATATATATGTATAGGGATAATGAATGGCATATATATATATAATATATTTTTATTTTATTTTATTTATTTATTCTTTTTGAGACAGGGTCTTGCTATGCAGTTCAGGCTGGCCTTGAGCTCACTTTGTAGCCCAGGCTGGTCTCGAACTCGCAACCATCCTCCTGCCTCAGCCTCCCGAGGGCTGGGATTACAGGCGTGCGCCACCATGCCTGGCCTTTTTTTTTTTTTCCGGTACTGGGGACTCAAACTCACAACTTCACACTTGCCAGGCAGGCGCTGAGCCGCTAAGTTACATCCCCGGCCCTTTTCTTCTCTTTTTTGAGACAGGGTCTCATTATGTAGCCTAGGCTGGCCTCTACCTCTGGGCGGTCCTTCTGCCTCAGCCGCCCCCAATACCCTGGTCCCGGGTTCTAGGGTTACAGGCGTGCGCCAGACTGAACTGGAGCTTTGTGTCTCTGCTGCCACCACGCGGCCACACGTGGAATTGCACCTCCAAGCCGCCTCTCTCGCGCCGCCCTCTCGTAGCCACGCCCCAGCCAGCCTCGAGGGACATTTATTGAGTACCTACTGTATGCCCAGACGAGCTTTAGGGAGGAGGGTCACCGAACTGAACCATACAGTCAAACCCCTACCCTCTTGGAGCGCAGGAAGTTCCTGGGGCGTAGACAAAGACGTGCGAAGTTAAGGAATGGGATTTCACATCCAGGCGGCCATGGTGCACCCGTCTCCTGGCTACTGGGGAAGCTGAGGCTTCAAGTTCTGGAATGAGGGCGTTACCCAGGAGGTCGCCCCAGCTAGCCTCTCCCGGTGAGATAACAGTGCCAGAGCTGGGGAGGGCTGGGGAGACAGGAGGGGTGCCCTCTCTTGGATGCTGCCTCCTCGGGGCTGTGAGAAGGGACCCAGGTGACTGGAGGGGACACAGGGTTCCCAGTGCCTGGTCCTGGGATGGGCTTCGCGGGCACAGGGCTGAGCGCGCGATGTGTCTTGGGGCCCAGGAGCCGCGGAAGGCGCTGGGGAGGTAGCAGTGCCTGCGGCTCAGCTGGGAGCCGTGCAGATGGACACGGCGGTTTGGGCCGAGGGTCCTGGGCCCACCTCCCCTGGGCTCTTTCTCTCCGGTGCGGTGCGGGGCCCTCACAGCCTCCAAGGCTTGGAGACGTGACCTCCAGGCCCAGAAAGCTCACCGGCGTGGCCGGCCACCCATCCAGGCTCACAGGGCCGGTGCAGATTCAGGCCTAGCTCAGCCTGGCTTGGCCCCCCGTTCAGGGACTGGGGGGGAGGGGCTCACCCAGTCCCTGCCCTCTGCGGCCACCAGCTGCGGTGCCTGCCCTGCCCGGTGTATTTTTGTTTTGTTTTGTTTTTGTTTGTTTTGTTTTGTTTTTTTTCGGTACAGGGGATAGAACTCACGACCTTGCGCTTGCCAGGCAGGCGCTTATGCCACTGAGCTATATCCCCAGCCCTGTTTTGTTTTGTTTTTGAGACAGGGTCTCGCTATGCAGTTCAGGCTGGCCTTGAGCTCACTTCGTAACTCAAGCTGGTCTTGAACTTGCAAAGATCCCCCTGCCTCAGCCTCCAGAGTGCTGGGATTACAGGCGTGTGCCACCCCGCCCGGCAGTTGGTGTTTGGGTTCTAATTCTCCAGTTGCATTTAGAAAATTACCTAAAATTACAGCTTCTGAGAGGAAACAGGGTCCCAGAGCGTGGACGGCTCCTGGCTGCAGCCACCATAGCGAGACAGGGCCAGCAGACACCATCAGTCCTGTTCCCGACCCCCAGGCCCCCTCCAGTGGGCGAGGAGGCGCAGCGCCTGGCCTCCACCCCCACCCCCCAGAGGGCAAAGCCTTCCGGCCAGCCTTGCACTGTCCGGGCACGATCTGGACGGTGGCACAGGCTGGGGCAAGGGCCAACCAACGGTGACAAAGCCAGCCCCGGTCGGTGTGCAACGCTGGAAACCAGAGGGCGAGGAGGGGACAGAGGAAGGAGAGAGCAGGGGGAGCAGGGAGGCGGCCGGGCCAGCAGGAGACTGGCAGGTCCCAGGGATGAGCGGCGGGCCACCGGGGCAGTGAAACACTCCTCGGGCTGGCCTGCCAGGACACCTGCCCACCCGGGCGCTGCCAGCCCCGGGGACACCAGGCATCTCCTCAAACCCCCGCGGGGGTGGAGAGCTGGGCTCGGGCGGGTCTGGGTGAGCTGTCCAGGCTAGGCTTGCACCTGCGGTCCTCCTGCGCAAACTCCGGAGTGCTGGGATGACTGGCAGGGATGCGCCCCCAAGCCGGGCGTGGAGGCAGGACGCCTATGCCTGGCGGGCCCTCTGGGGAGGCGACCTCCCGCGCGTGAGCAGGGTGGACAGGCCCCTCTCCGGTTTTGTTGTTTTGCGTTGCTGAAGGTGGAGTCCAGGGCCTCGCGCATTCGAGGCCAGCACTCACACGGCACAGAACTCCGCCCCATCTGTGAGGTGCTATAGCTGGTTTTCAGCGCGCAGGAATCCAGTTTCTATGACCTGATTTGGAGAAGAGAAATTCTTTCTATGACAGTTCCAGAGAGACAAGAGACAGCAGTCTCACGTTTTTGAGTCAGGGTCTGACTGAGTGGCGCAGGCTGGTCTGGGATTCTCGGCGGCCGCTGAGGGCTGGGATGACGTACCCCTTCTGAGACATTCCACCTGCTTCGCTGCCACAGTGCCGTTGCTTTGGGGCTCTGGGGGATACCAGCTCTGCCGGCCAGGCACACCTGAGCCCTCCGTGGCACCTGTGCCCTCACCTGTGCCTGCCCCAGGACCTTTGGGCGTGCTGCGACTGCACTCTCAACCTCTACTTCCAGATTCACCTCCCCCCACTGAAAAAATTTCCTCCCCATCTCCTCGGTGCAGCCGAGTTGCGCGTGCGCACAGTTCCACTCCGGGACACCACGTGAGGCCCGGGGCGCGCTCCCCGCGGATTGCTCCACGGACGCGACGCGCAGCCGGTGTTTGGGAAAATCCTTCCCGGTTGCCATGACAACCGCGCCGCCGCCGCATCACGCCGACCCTCCCCAGTCGCAGCAGCGGTGCCGCGGGCGCCTCCCTCCGCCTGCTGCGCCTCCTCCGGGGGACACCGGCCGCCCTCGCAGTCGCCTGGCCTGCCTCCCTCCGCCCACCACCTGGGCCTTGCTGAAATGGTCCCAGCGCCTCCCCCATCGGACCCGTCAGTCCCGGCCGGGTCCCCATCCCCGCACATCATAGGCGCTCAATCATTGCCGAGGGAGTGGAGACTCGCGCGGACTTAAGGAGCGGGGCCTCACACCCGCTGGACACCTGTGCGGGGGACACAGGATCCCCGAGCCACGGGAGCTGGGGAGTCGGCGGGGTGGGCCGGCGCCTGGATCCCCCGCGCAGCACGGCTTGGGCGAGCCCCGCCTCCCGCTCGTCGTGGGGAGCAGGCGCTGGAAAGGGTGGGGGAGCGCAGCCGGCAGGAGGTGCCCTCGACGCTCAGGCCCCCAAGGCCCCCAGGCAGTCACCAGCCTCAGGCCCCCGAGAGGAAGCTGGGGGAGGGGCGCGAGCCGGACAGGAAATGGGGAGGCTGCGCCCCCCAGCGGGGCCGCGAGGCGGCGGCGGCCGGCCATGCCCT